CTGACAAAAATGAATCTGAAAATAATTCAGCTTTCTCAAATCCAGCCTTTGTAGGCATACTGTCAATATCACATCTGCCTCAAGCCCACACCAAAATTCTCCTTATTAGTAAATTTGGAGTCTGCTGTCCCTAGTTTCAGTCAGTAACTGAGGTTCCCTGAAAAGTGTCCAATTCCAATTTCAGCACCTTGATATACTGGATCACTTGTTGCTCAATATTATTTTACTCAGTAGCTTTAGGAGCAGAGTATTTAGCAATGTGTGGAAGTGATTATGACTGGTACTTTTGACTATTGAAAAAATGTGCCTGTGACAGGATCTTCTAAATGAAATAAGGCAATAAAATAGAATAAATTTAATGAGTAAATCTGGAGAAAACGTTTTGTGTGAGGCATGAAACTAAAATAGCAATATTCAGATTGGTGAGGGGAATTTAGAACTAAAGCCAGGAGGAACATTTTCACACATACAGCAACCAAAATTTGAAACAAACTTTAAACTAAAGGAGATAAAGCAGTTCGATACTCTGATGGGGAGAAGAACTGTGGGTATTTGCTTCTGAATGAAAAAGCCTAAGATGAACTTTCCTTTCTTAGGATCTTGTGACTTCTGATGCAGATAAGACTACTTTAAGCCAAATAATCAAGATCCAAAGTTATATGCAGGCTTTCTGATGTGAAAGATAAATTCTGAGAGCAAGCTCCACAGATGATTTCTAATTTTAACTTTGAAATTATGGTTCATTTTGGTTAAGAAACACAGAATTAAAACTGCTTAAAAGTCCACTCATGTCTTGCAGGAAGATAAAATTTGCATTCATTTAACAGAGATAATCTGCAAAATCAGAGGACACATGAATCATGAACAGGAATGGTGCCATTCTGGCAACAATCAAACATGTGAGGCGAAGACTGTGATGGCGTTAATGCATTCTGCTACAGAATAATGAGGGATGATTCCCATAAAGGATCCCATTACAGCAAGATCCTCTGATTTATCATGGAGATTCACCAACATAAGACAAGAAGTCTACTCACTAAGCAAAAAGGAGGGAACCCAGTGGGTCCATCCCAGACCATTCAGGCACTGGCCCGTTGCTTGGTAGATAGGTCTGGATCATGGTATATCAAGAACTAAAAAGATGTTCAAGATGAAATTGCACATTTGATAAAATTACTGTGTGCTACTTCAGTGTCATATGTTTCAAAAGATCTAGAACATTGTCAGATTCAGCAACTTTTTTTGGAACTTGAACAACATTCCTGCTGTGTCTTTGAAAGGCATCAGTTTTCACAGCATTGTAATTAACATTGTTTGAATATTCAACAACATGAAAATAAAATTAAAAACAGCTCTGTACAATGCTCAGTGATCCTGCATTGATCAAAGTGATTCTTCCATGTAATATTGAGATGCAAACCCCAACAATGTCACATAACACTACACTGGCAATGTTAGCTGTTGAGAACTGTTGCTCTTTCAAGCTCACATGACACAGATAAAATAATAATGTTATATACTTACATTTACATTTTCACTGTTTTTCACTTCTGCTGAAAGATAAAGAAAACGTATTTTATAAAAGAATTGAAAATGATGGGTTGAGGTTCCACCTGTCCACGAAGGAGACCTACATACAGTGGGTAGTAACACTGGAAATATCTTTTTCCAAATGGTTTATGAATTTATTTTCTTTAGTACGTGATGTTCAACTAGTATGCCGACTACAATCAGGTTTGTTAGTAGCCAATCAGCATTGCAATGCCAGGCCAGAAAAGACCATTTAAAAATTTGTCATGAAATCTTTTGTAAATGCATTAGGTCCCTGGAATTTGCAATCAACAAATTAAGTATGAACACGGATCATGAAATACAATCAACTACTATTTTGATAGTGATCTTTGATTGATATTTTATTGTGATTAGTGATACCAAATGGAAAGGAAAGCAAGACTTGCATTTATTTTAGACTTTAGGACATTCTAAAGATCTTTACAACAAATAAAGTACTTTTGAAGTATAATTATTGCTGTAATGCAGAAAACATGGCAACTGATTTAAATACAAGGTTCCATAAACAGCAGTGAAATAAGTGACCTGAACATCTATTTCAGAGGTTAACTGAGGGATAAAATATTGGCCTGGACACTAGGGAGCGCTCCCTATTTCTTTGGAACTGTTAGAACCATCGACAGACAGGTGGAGCTCTAAGGTTAAATAACGTGCAAAATGTAAATAACCTGGTAATTTGCATGACCCACCACCAACAGAATGATTTCCAAAAATGACAACTGAACAGCAAGTGATGGTACAAGAAGTGAGCCATATAGCCAGAATTTACCAACAACAATTCGCAATAACCAGTAGCTACTAAATTAAGCAACTTTAGGTCACAGCCATGGATTGTGTAAAGATTTTGTGCTAACACCATGCTGTTGTGATTCATTTCATTTTTGAAGTCTATTATTACTTGCCACCTGAAACAGGGAAACAGGCAAATTAGTAAGGAGAACACACTCGAGTCCCAAAAAGTTTGCAATGAACATAGTTGCCAATCCTACCAATTTTAGGTATGGTTTTCTCTGGGTATCAGTCTAGCGTTTTATGTAAAGGCAAATGATATCATTAGATTTAAAATGGTTATATAATGGCATGTATTGATTATCTTACAATAATTAAACAAACCACAAAAAGAAACTGTTATGATGGACAAATAGTGTCTCCTTGCCCATTTCTGCAAGAGAGTAGTTCAGAATGTTATGATGTTGATGCTCAGCATATATCAGCATAACTAGCAAGGGCTAGTTCTGAAATTTCTTTTTTATATAATAGCTAGTTTTGACTAGTACTTCGATTCTCTGTGGGCGCTAGATGCCCAGAAATACCAATTATTACTATTTTTACAAACAGTCCTCATATGATGGTCAAGAGTAATGTTCATTCTTTGTTCAGTTATCGTACAACAACAATGATGGCCATTTTTGTTAAAATAAAAATTTTGAATCAAATCATTATGTTCAGATTGCAGCGTATTGAACAGAATTGTAAGAGTTTCTAAGTGGGGTTCTAGTTACAATAGCCATTTTATAAATGAGTTAAAAAAGAGAAGTTATTGAAGTCCTGTTTAGTTGAGCTTTTAGCATTCTCTGCACATTTATGGACTTAATTTATGCCATAGATTTTCTTTCTTTAACTTCAATATCTAATGTAGAAAAGGCACCAACTTTTATATCAGAAGAGAATAGGCAAGTTCCATTCAAAAATCTCCATCCACAAAGTGTTTAACAAGTTGTATATTCAAGAAACAAAATTTTACTGGAAATCCTAAGAGTTGGCATTAATTATAAAAGACAGCTATTAAGGAACTATTTTTAAGGCTGCTTTTTCCTACATTGGTATGCTTTGGCAACTATGCAGTTCATAATGAGGGAGGCAAATCTAGAAAAGCAGGGAATGACTCGTGATTATTAGTGTGTCCCAAAGCACTCCCGGGTTCAGGAAGCAAAACAGAAGAAGGAAATTACTAAGCACAACTTTTACCTGGCTGAGAGAAAAATTCTGAGCGTCGCCAGGAGTTCCGAACTGTGACCGGAACACTGGCAGTGTTAGGTGATTCTAAGATGGGTAGCAGAATAAAATAAAACAGGAAACAGAAATCATAAGAAAGTGACTGAAAACAAAATTTTATTAAGTGGGTATTTAAATTACAAGAGTGGTTTATTTTTAGACATTGGCGTCTTAAATATATATAAAATTATCTAACATTATACATTATTCCAGCTGAATTTGACAAATAACCAATTGTAATCCAAAGATCTTTATGCAGAATTTAATGCCATAGAATTAGTTAGGTTTATGCTGCTTTGCATGCAGATCTGTGTTTACTTAAACCTATACCATAGAAATGTCAGGCTGTACCTCACTTGTTTTTTGGTTTTATCTGAGTTGCATTGAGTTTTTTGAAGGGTTTTTATGCCATATGGCTTTGTAAGATTTCTCGCCGTCTCATGCTAAACTCACATAATTAATTACCGAACTGCAATCCCCTGCCCCATGACACCCACCACATCTGATTCTGGCCCCATTTTACCACGCCCCGTTCTTGGAACAACACGCCATTCAGTGGATATCCACAAAAAGACTGGCATCCATTGCACCTATACCATTTTTGAAAGGCCACTGTGCAGCCAGATGAGTATTGGCATTCCAAAGCAGGCTTGCCTGTTAGCATATAGAATCTGAACACAGAGAAGGGAAAGATGGCAGCCTGATTTTCTGATAAGGGACCGGGAAGTCCCAGTAGAGGAGGTGTTGCAAAAGAGAGCAGTCATTTTTCCAGAGGGCTGACAGAGAAGGCCGCAGCACAAGGCACTGATAACCTAGTGCCAGGTTGCCACCTGCATTAGTGTGGTCTCAATGGTGCAGAGAAAAAGCCAGCAGTGCTGTAAGAAGGCCAATGATCTTCTTTATTCCTCCAGGCTAAGTGCCACACTCCTCTGTCTGCTACTTCACACTCACTCGAACACTGGCGCTGCGCACACCTCCCTCACCCCCTCTCATCCTCCCCAACCTCCCAGCTGTACTGCGTGGCTTCTGCATAACCTCCTTTACTCTCTTTTCACCATTCACCCACCTACACCAGCACTACAGCCATGCCAGCTACTTCCACCTCACTTAATTCCTCCCTTTCTCTCATTAGGAACACAGTAACAGGAGTAAACCATTCAGCCCCTTGAGCCTGTTCCACTATTTAATGAGATCATGGCTGATCTGTGGCTTAACTCCATCTACGGACCTTTGGCCCACATCCCTTAAAACTTTTGCTTAACAAAAATGTATTCATCACATTAAAATGACAGGAGAAGACAGCTCACAACAGGGCACAGAAAGCCCTTTTGGGTGGAAGGGTGCCTACATTAGCCTCATCAGCACCTACAAGCAGAGAATCCTGGCCCTCTCAGGAATAGACTGGGATTGCTCCGCTGGGAATGCTGAGACAGCCATGTCTCACCGACCAAGTAGGTAGCACTCTTCATTCCAATGTACCTCTCACAGTAAGTAATCCTGCTGTTAGTCCTCATTCATTACACACCACTGTTAACTATTGGCTGTGACGCCCGCTTTCTCACATTTTGTACATGCAGCGAGCATCTCCACGGCCTCTGCGGAGAAATGACCAGCTCCCCAGAAGTTACTTCCTGGGTCTCTAAGGACAAATATACTAAGGTCTCAGAGGAAGCACTGGCAAGGCTCCCCACCAGCCCAGGTGCTGTCATGTTTGTGGGAACATTAGTCATAAAAAGAGGGCGAGCGCAATTTTGTGAATACCTCACCAGGACAGGTCCATTACTGGATGAAGGAGACATGCCCCAGATTGCTGGCATTCAGAGAACTGCCAAAGACCTTGCACTTACTCAGTGCTTCCAGTACAGTCTCACTCACATGTTTTGGATGTTGCTGTTACATCACAACACACCTCAGAGGCTCACCTGCATATTCCTTAAATCCTATCTTGACAATGGATTCCATACATTGCCACCCAGAAAGCAAAGTTGAAACCCATCCCACAAAGTCCAGAGAAAAAAAGACTTCAAAACTGGTCATCCAGAGTCAGCTAAAGTCCATGTAGGAGATAGGACAGGAGTTACCATTAGCCTGGACCACGAATGGGAAAATGACAATGGATGAGGAAGAAATATTGGCACTTAAGAAATATTTTCTCAATATGATAAAGTTTTTTTTGACTTTTTTCTTTGGAAATTATTGGTTCCATCATTGTACCTTGATCTCAGATGCACAATTGTGAATGCAAGAACAGCAATGTTTGCACAAAGGGATAGCAAGGCGTGGAGCTGGATGAACACAGCAGGCCAAGCAGCATCACAGCAGTAGGAAAGCTGATGTTTCAGGTCTGGACCCTTCTTCAGAAATGTTTGCACAAAGTTGTTTTAACTGGTGTTTCACTGGTGAAACATATTAGATTCATAGGCCCTAACTTTAGAAGTAGTTGATCTCTCATGAAACTGTAATTATGATGCAATTATTGAGTATAATAAGAGATCTAGTAGTAGATCACTGCACTTACCTATTTCTACTTTGTACCATATAGCTCTGTCACATGACAGATTTTATTAGCATTTTTTTAACAGAAGGTTTAGGAAAAGACTTGCATATATGTTTAAAAACATAGCAATGAGACAAAGGATGGTTAAAATGTTAAAGAGTTATGCTTTGAAGTTATTTCCCTTAAGATGATTACAGACTTTGTGGTGGTAGTGATGGCAAAGACTTTAGCATTCATACTCATTATGTCCCCAAAACTGGCAATAGCTTCTGGAGCCCCCAATTCACAGTTAAACACGGAGGTTCAGGAGTTGCCATCAGTAATGCTACATGAGCTCCTCCTGAGTGTGTGTAGTAAAAATTCCCCGGTGTTCAAAGTAATACAGAAATCAACATTCTGCCATGAATTAACTGTTGCACTTTCGTTCTTTGCAAGAACAGTTTAGATTTACTAATGAAGCACAGGGTGATATTCAATTGAGGTCATAGGATCTTTTCCCTTGGCTGGAAAGCCAACAAGGATCCCATCTCACTACTTTTACAGAAGGCCTGATAAAGCAAGTGTCACTCAGGCACTTAACTAGATAGCAGTGGGCCGTTTTTTTGGGATCAAAAGGCCTCGGTGACTGAAGTTCTGCCCAGCAGCAGCTGCTGATCATTCAGTGGCCAGCATGGCAGCGCCACTGAGGAGGTAGTGCCTGCTGCTGGCATTAAACACACCTCAGGTCTCGGATCAATGCTGCATCATAGGCCACTGGTGAATAATGGCAGGGTGGGCTGAGGCAGGAGGGAGTGGGTCACAGACAGTGGCAAGGCAAAGAGAGTGGTTCTCAGTAAGCTCCCTCCCCACTCCCAGTGCTAGATCAGGAATGAGGTGAACCTAAACACAGGCTGGCCGCCAAGTAACAGCATGCAATGCCAGACAGGTCTGCTTGTCATGCTTTCTACACGGTGAGCCTCCTGCTAGTTGCTGGGTTAATATCAGCATCTATGGGATGAGGCTGTTATTCACCCACTTCAGTGCCTGTACTGGTAACTGGGGACAGGAAGGCAATCCACAGACATTCCCCTCATAGATTCAATGGAGGTAGATGCAAAAAGGGTCCCCACTGTCACCCCGTCACCTGATCACATGTTCACCGTCACCGAATCCACGGGGGTGAGGGGTGAGGGGAGGGGCATGCTTGTGATGGAATTAAATTCCATCCAAGTAATCTGAACTGGTATTTGTGAGCAGTTAATGGAACTACCATCATATTATGAAGAGATTCATATGGAATAACAAAATAGTTGCAAATTTCTCTTCAGAATTACAAGTATTTTTAATTTTGCTTATACTTACATCAAATTATCTCACATTTCTATGACTTCAAAATTTTGCCAATAAATTTAACACTTCTAAGTGCATTGATGTGTAATGCAACTGCTTAAAAAATTTTCCAAAGTCTATAACTTTTTCTCGTGCTTTTAGCGGTTTCTAAAGGCCACCTATGCACACGCCTCTCCAAGGTCTAGCCTGGATTTGTGGACATCACTTTCCCATCAGTTCTGCCAGATTTCATGCCTCTTTTCAATGGTCCCATGTGCTCAGGCATGTTAACCAATGCTGCTTTGTTCCATGAAAGTTGATGTTGTACTAGAGTCTCTGGGCTTTCCCATGTCAACTTCACCAGATGAACAGTCCTAATTTAGTGAGTATTTCCCTTCATGGTCAGAATCAAACATGATTGCCCTGTCATTGACCACATAATAGGGATAAAAGCTGTAAGACATTTGCAACCTGGCTGAGCAACTAATAATTCTCAGAAGGAAAACAAAGTAAAACTGGCATATTAGACATATCGGTCTGGCGGTATACTTCAAAATAGAGTTCCAGTATGACAGTGAATTCATTTCCCTGTGTTACATTTTTTTTAATGTAACCTTCTTTTACTCTATGGAAAATGCCTCGCGACTTTTGTTTGAGAGTCGCAGGTCTTGGGCGCTCAGCAGTGTACATGTGGCAAGGCCCCCACTTGAGGGGGATAAACAAGGATTTCTGCAAATTTTCCAACTAGTTAATACCTGCTACAGCTGTTGATGACTAAAAATCCAGGAGAATTTACACAAATTCTTTCTAATCACCAGGATAAAATGTCTGAGAAATCCTTTCAAATACAAGTTCATCACCAGTTATTTCAGAATGTCTTTTAATTCCTATCAAGTTCCAACTGAATAATAAGGAGGTCTGGACCCAAAACGTCAGCTTTCCTGCTCCTCTGATGCTGCTGGCATGCTGCGTTCATCCAGCTCTACACCTTGTTATCTCAGATTCTCCAGCATCGGCAGTTCCTACTATCTCTGAATAATTTCTGTTATGTTTGGGCCATTCTTCCTTCACTTCTAAAACAGATCTTCACAGTTCAGATGTATATAAGGCACCTGAATCATTTGGTACCTACAAGTTTATTCTGCCAGTCATTTGGTGTGTTTTTAAAATGGGATAGTTCACCACTCTTAATATTTAGTGTCAGTATCACGCAGTCCCAGACCACACATGGCATAGGTCTGATCCAGTGTAAACCCCAGGAAAGTAAGCGAGTGAGCACAATCCTCTGCAGCGACAATATGATAATTTACAAACAGACCAGCTATCCTTGTAACTTAAGCTCATTTTCAAATTGTCAGTCACAAAATCTATGAAGAGCTCAAAAGAATTATACTGCAATTTAAAATATGAATTCAAAATCAAATTTTGCTTTAAAAGATATTCCTAGAAATATTTAAGTGGCAAGCATTGAGTTTAACGGATGAATTGTTTTTAAAGCAAAAAAAATAAGCATTTTTAAATCACCATCTCATCTCAACACTTGAGTAATTTGATCTGAAAATGTTTTCTTGTCAGTTTCTTAAAAAAAAACAAAAACTTTAAAATGTGTCTATCCATGCTTTTGCCCACAAACATTCCACCTTAATGTTTGGAGCCTCCTCAAAGGTCTGAATCAGGCATGATTAGTGAAAACTGCAAATGATGATTGCTTCTGCAGCCATCGCCAGTTTTATGGATGGGGCTGCTTCTAGCATCATGGTCTCAAAACCAGTGTACAGGATCGTGAAAACGCTGAACACAATTTGCCTTAAAATTAGAGAAATTCTGCCAAAACAATCATCGCAAAGTAGAAATTCTACTCCATAATGTATCCATGAAGAAATAATTTTTGAAAAACTAAGTACAATTCTATAGTGCAGCACAGTTTCCACAGAATTTCTGAAGAAAAAATAATGATCGTAACATTATTTTTAGTCAATTTTTACAGTTTCATTAATGAGTTAATTAGTAAATTAATTTACTAAACACTTGTGTTTTTAAGATAATGGCACCTTACAATGCAACAGGCACGTTGTCTATGCTTTTTGATGTCTTACCTTGCTGATTAATAGCATCAACAGGCTGACTGTCCTCTATAGTCTCTTCCTCCACTTCACTTATCCTCTGAATGGAATCAAATACATCTCCTGTTTCACCGTGTTGAAGTGTCTCTGATTTTAATGTCTGTTTTGTGTTAAACACAATGAGTGACCTTGGCATTGCAAATATTAAACTGTATGAGAAAACAACTGAGACCTAGTGAAGTTCACTTCCTGAAGTGAAAAACACAATTAAGGCAGACTGTTGGCTTCCAGCTTGATGATACAGCTTCACAATCTCTTTTCAATAATAATTTTAAAGTTATTTAATAAAGTCGCTTAAATATTAACATTGCCTGAAAATGTTCAGAAACTGAAACCTTGAATTACAGTAAAATGTTGCAATTTGGCAATAATATGAACTTATTGTAATAATAAATATAACTTCTGAAGCCAGTGTATTAGATTAAATCAGTGTTTACCTCTTGTTGGAGTTGTTTCTGCACACTTTCACTGGGCTTGTCTTTCTCAGGATTTAAACAGGCTTCATCAGTCATTAGAATTTTGGAATCAACTGTGTTCTTTGTTCCTGATGCTACATTATTTGACAGGGCAATGTGCACTGTCGATGTTTCCAAGTTCCAAGGCTGATCTTCTATAATAAAATGAAAGTAGAATTAGCCATTAAGTTGAAGCAAACAGATACTTGTGATTGGAACACAGGAACAGCAGTAGTTCATTCTGACACTTATTTAGCAATTCCACATTGTTTAGCAATTAGTAATCCTCAGGGAATACAATAGTTAAAATGGGACATCATGATGCTCTAAATTGGAGCAAGTGTCTTCAAATTCTAGCTTTAACTAACATAAATGAAAATCTGCAAGTCTACAGTGTGCAGATTTACAGGGGAGAAGGCTTCCCAGTTTCAGATGAAGGTTTTTCAAGGAGACTTATTCTTTTTTTGTACATATTACATCTCAGTCCAAGCAGTCTTAAAAAGAGATTGCAGTAAAGGTCATAATCCAGTCTCTTTTCCCCTCCAAAAAGAGGGAGAGTGGATTTAGGAGACAGGAAATGTAAGCTTACAAAGCAAGATGATATGGCAGCATTACAGGCCAGTTATCTGGATAACAATACCCAGAGTGGGACAGGTAGGCACAGAGCATAGAGACATTGAGAGACAGCAGGAAATAGGGTTAAGAAAATTATTATTTTCTTTAATTTCCTTATCAATAAGTTTAGGGATGTTATCACACATCAATAGAGCAGATGGGACTTGAACCCATTCAAACCCTCTAATTAACCTGTTAAGAGATGATGAACAGCTCTCAGCATGAACAAATACATGTTAGTTCATATGATCTCATGGAATTACAGAGGCATATTTACAAGGACATCAAAGTTGAGTATTAAATATTCAGAAGTACATAACTTTTTGGAAGGACAGGGAGGAAAGAGAAGGTTGGGTTGCTTTGTTAGTATGGGCTGGAATAAGCATGACAGCAAAAAATGATCTTGGATTAAAATGGGTGAAGCTAAGAAATAACAAAGAAGTGGCAGGAGTAGTCTTTGGTCTCCTGACAGTAATGATACTGTAGAAAAGAGAATAAATCAGGTTATAAAGATGCAGTACATCAATCATGAGTGACTTTAATCATCATGTAGATCGGGTCAATCAAATTGACATAGGTAACCAAGAAGGAAAACTTTACTGGGTGTCTTTGACACAGTTACCAAGAATAATATGTCATGGATCCAAGCAGGGATCAGACTATTTTGTATCTGGTGATGTAGAATGAGGTAGGTTTAACAAACGATTTCAGAGTAAAACATCCCCTAGTAAACAATGACTATAACAAGATAGAATAATATTCAGGTTGACAGGGAGAAACCTGGATCCAAACCTAATGTCCTAAACTGAATTACAAAGGAATGAGGGCAGAGCTGTAGTAGGCTGGAAAAGGATTTACATAGAAACAAAGAAAATACGAATAGGAGCAGGCAATTTGGCCCTTCAAGCCTACTCTGCCAAACATGGCTGATCATCCTACTCCGTTCCCTTTTCCTGCTTTCACCCAAATGCTTTTGATCCCTTTAGCCCTAAGGACTATGTTTATCTACTTCTTGAAAACATTTTATGTTTTGGTCAACCAGTTTCTGTGGCAGAGATTACTACAATTTCACTACTCTCTGGGTGAAGAAATTTCTCCTCATCTCAGTCCTATCTTAGACCATGACCCCTGGTCCTGGATTCCTGGTCATTGGGAACACCTGCTTGCATTTTACCTTGTCTCGTCCTGTTAAAAATTTACAGGTTTCTATGAGATTGCCCCCTCATTCTTCTAAACTGCAATGAATATAGTCCTAACAAATCTAGTCTCTCTTTATATATCAGTACTGCCAGCCCAGGAAACAATCTGGTAAACTTTTGCTGCACTCCCTCCATATTCAGATAAGGAGACCAGAACTGCACACCATTCCAGGTGTGGTCTCCCCTAGGCCCTGTGCAATTAGAAACCGAAAGAACTGCAGATGCTGTAAATCAGGAGCACAAACAAAGTTGCTGGAAAAGCTCAGCAAGTCTGGCAGCATCTGTGAACAGAAAAACAGAGTTAACGTTTCGGATCCAGTGACCCTTCCTCAGAACTGATAGTGGCTGGGAAATTGTCAGTTTATATGAGAAAAATAGGGAGGGGTTTGGAATATGGAGTAAACGATAGGATAGAGCCTAAAGAGAGAGAACAGTTGGACTGACAAAGGAGTTGCTAACGATCAGGCTGGGAGGGTGAATAGTTAGTAATGGGGACTGTTAGTGACTAACAACAGCAGGTGTGTAATGGCAGGCCGTGTGATAACAAGGCCTGGTGTTTGGGGTAGGGGGCTAGGACATGGGAGAGTTGAGGCCCTAAAATTATTGAACTCAATATTGAGTCCAGAGAGCTGCAGGGCCCCCAGTGGAAAATGAGCTTTTGTTCTTCTAGCTTCGCTCAACTTTCAGTGACTGGTGTACAAGGTGACCCAGGCCTTGTTGCACCTCCCCCTTTCCCAACAGGTTGCTGTTCAGATATTAAGCTGATTTCCTGTTTTTGCTACCAAAGTGGATAAAGCTCACAATTATCCTATATTATATTTCAGCTGCCACGCATTTGCCTGCTCACTCAACTTGTCCAAGACACAGCGAAGCATGTCTGCATCTCCTCACAGTTCACCCTCCCATCCAGATTTGTGTCATCTGTAAATGTGGAGGTATTACATTTAGTTCCCTCATCTAAATCATAATATATATTATGAAAAGGTAGGATGCAAGTACTGAACCATGCACTTACCACTGTTTATTGTCTGCCACTTAGAAAAATGACCTGTTTATTCCTGCTTTGTTTCCTTTCTGCCAGTCAGTTCTCTCTCCGTGTCAGCACACTACCTCCATTCCCATGCACATTAGATGCAGAAATATTATTTCCTTTATGGGAGAGTCCGGGGCAAGGGCATAATCTAAGATCGAGTGGGTGCCCATTTAAGATTGCAATAAGGAGAAATTTATTCTCTCAGAAAGTAATGAATCTGTGGAATTCTTTACCGCAGACGATTATCAAGGCTGGGTGGTTAAGTATAATCAAGATTGAGACAGAAGAGTTTTAATCAGTAAGAGAATTGAGGGTCACAGAGAAGAGGCAGGGAAGTGTTCAGGATCACTGAATCAACCATCAATTGAATTGTGGAGCAGACTCAATCGGCTGGATGGCTTTATTTTGTTCCTGTGTATTATGACTTTAGATTCAGCCCACAGAGAGATGTACGAAAGCAACAAAAGAAGGAATTGAAGGGTCAGAGGTGGGGGGATGGGGATGTGCGGTGGAATGATCTAAACATACAAAACAAATTTTAAAAATTTAATGAACTGGAATTACATTAGACATCACTTCCTTCATTGTAGAATTAAACCACAAGCTCCAATACTGCCAATTTAGTACTGTTCCAATCTCAAACAATCAAGGACTACTTTAGAAGCCTATTAACAGTCACTCCTATCACAGATCACACATAGAATTTTTGCTTCTAGCCTCTAAGATAGCTTCTTTTTATTTAGCTTATGAGATATGAATGCTGCTTCCAAGGCCAACAGTTATTGCTTATTTACAACTGCCCCTGAAAAGATAGTGGAGAGCTACCTTCTTGAACTGTTGCAGTCTGTGTTGTGTTGTTACACTCACAGTGAAGTAAGGATTTGGTTTCCCACTGGAAACTTACAAGGTGAGGCACACGAGTTAGAAAGCTATTTCATTTTCATTGAGCCTCTCAGTTGAAATATTTCAAAACGCCAGACTTCAGAAAAGTCTGACGTGTTATACTACAGCACACAAGAGAGAACTGATACTTATTGCTTGCATGTTTGAAAGGAGCCTGACACCTTCTTGTGTTGCATCTTTTATTGTCGCTGTTTCAGTCTTATTGCAGCAAGGTTTCAAATCAAATTCTTCTTCTGTGTTTGATTGTTGACTGGTGCCAATGGTGATTGGCATCTCAGTTCGTTCCTCCTACAGGAAAAAGATGCCCCACACATTTATTATGAGATACAAACAACACAGTGGCACATTAGTGCCAGATAACATGTAAGTGGAGTCTTTGGGAAGACAGTGCCACAAGTCCAGGCCATCTCAATTTTAAGAGCCCAGTTAAACATGTTAAACGCGATTCCCCGTCAAAGCTTCTGATGGATGGGAGATGAATGATTTATCTGCCCGAGGCTTGCTCCTGCACTGACCAGGTTTGCCGAATTGTACCAGAAACAGGCACCAACCTCATGACACAAATTTAACACAGCATTGGAGTCAGATTGATGTTATTGATTTTTGTACTTTAAGTTCTTACCCACCAGCCAAAAAGCAGAAAATAAATACCTTTTAACATGAGTGCAGTGTCAAGCTGGAGGGCATGACACTGCCTCCCTTTGAATTTCCACAAATTTTGTTTTCATCAGGCATGGTGGTAGTAGGGTTAAAATTAGCTCATATTGTGAGGATTTACAACAGGGAACACTCACAGAATGATAACATTGTGAGAATTTATTATCCATCTTAAACATCATGACTTGCAACAACTATAAATACTGTTCTCAAGGGGAGCTGTCATCTGGCATTGCACTAAAGAAATGTCTGGCTGTGCAGTGATGAGATACTGGTTTCCACTTGTTGAGGGGATACTTACTTGCCCTGTATCTTCAGTCTCTGGGTCTTTTATGGATGAAGAAATTTCCTGTTCTGCTCCAGTAACGTGGCAGTTATCAACCTGAGACTTTAATGTGGGTGTGTCCACACTTGCCACACTTTCAAACATCTGTGACGATGTAAAGGATGAGGACGATATTGCAGATGTGGGCTCCTTCTCTTCAACTCTGGTGAATGTTGGGCTGGTGTCTCCATTTATTCTAATTTTCCCATCCTTCTGCAAACAGGCACGTAAAGAAAATAACTCAGGTCAGATGTTAGTTCCTCAATTACAAAGTTCTACCAAAAAGCAAAATTAAATAATTGCCTAAGAGTCTGCCATGTTAGCAGACACATACCTGCTTTGATGATGGTAATACACAGGTTGGATTCTGATGGAGTGAAAAAGTTTACACTGACATATGTCCCTAGCTGACCCAGCGGAACTTTGTTGACCACATGCATGCCATCTGTCACACCCTGAAACCCAGCAATATACATGCTGCTACTCACTCTCTAGGGCTGACTAACATCGTTGGATGAATGAGATGGCATTTTTTACTCACCTAAACACTGCATCCGTCACAACCTTAAGAAATGTTGTTTTGAAGTTTGTGATGTGCTGCAAAGGTTAATAACTTAAATAACCTCAATCCATTGAGGTTCAAGGCCACAGTAATCATAAGAGTGACAAATATAGGGTCCCTACCAATAGAGATTGCACTGATCTTTCCAGCTAGCAACTCACAAAGGAAGGTATTTGTCTCCTTGGAGAGACACAGTTTGTAAAATCCCTGGTACTCTGAAAGCTGAAGGTGATAATTCTTTACTTAGATTCTGGGCAGGTTAATGCCTTCTTCTACCACTGACTGGCTGCTTTTGTTCTGAGGAAGGGTCACTGGACCTGAAACGTTAATTCTGCTTTCTCTCCACAGATACTGCCAGACCTGCTTGGATTTTCCAGCAATTTCTGTTTTTGTTTCTGATCTCCAGCACCTGCAGCTCCTTGGTCTTTCTGGATGCTTTTTTTCTCTGTTATGGTTTTGACCTTGGGCAGAAGCAAGTCCCTGACTTGGCTGGCCCGCAGGACCAGATACCTGTTCTTGGACAGCTGAACTCTTCCGTCTCCTCATCCCCATTTCCTCTACTCACTGAAGGTACTTCCTCTAAAGTACACAACCCCAAAAGGGACAGCACAACTCTCTGGTTCCTTTGCTGGAGTTCTTGGCTCCCAGGATATCTCTATCTCCAGACTCCCTTCTCTTTCACTCTCTCATTTAACAATAAATAAATAAAGTTCACTAACAGCCACCTTCTGCTGTGCAATCTGCTGCTACATGCAGTCACGGCCCCTATTTACACGCCTCTTCACTCAACCCTTGTACTACCTCTTTAACATTTCACACCCAATGGCATGAGTTCTTATCTCCCGTAGCGACCTTTCATATAGTACCTTATTGTATGCCCTTTAGAAATCCAAATACCTGTGCACTCTATTTACTGGCTCTTTTTTGTTCACCCTGCTGTTAAACCCCAAAGAACACTATTAAAGTTGCCAAAAACATGATTTATCTTTCACAAAACCTGTCCTATTGTATTATCATTTTCCAAATACCTAGCTACAACCTCCAATGACAGGTATTAGACTAATTGACCTATAGTTTTCATCTTCCGCCTCCTTCCTTTTTTGAATCGTGTTGCTATATTTGTGCTTTTCCAAACCAATGATACCTTTCCAGAATCTAGGGAATTTCGCCAGATTACAGCCAATGCATTCAATGTAGCTGTAACACATTCCTTTAAAACCATAGACTGCAAAATTTAATTGATCTATCCAATTAGTCTTGCAGCCCTGTAAATTGTTCTTTTGAGGTATTTATCCAATCAAATATTTATTAATTTGTTCACAGGATAAAGGTTATGCTTGCTAGGCCAATCAATGATAGCTGTGATGGTTACCATGACTAACACTACCTTTATATTATAAATTTACTAACTGATTTTAAATTCCACCAGCCACTATGATGAGATTCGAAATCGTATCACCAGATAATGAACCTGGGCCTCTGGTTTACAGTCTAATTACATTACCATCTATCTCTGAGATGTCCTCTTTGTCCTTCTAGGTGCTAGAGGTCAGGGGTTTGGAAGGTGGTGTTGAAGGAGCTGTGGTGAGGCGATCTGATCTTTTGAATGTTTCTATTGAATTTGATTCTGCAACCCTTTCAGCCAATCTGTTCTGGAATACAACTCACTGTGTACAAACAAACAATTCTTCCTTATATTGGCTCTATTTTACCACTTACTTTAAATCAGAATCCTCTGACAGCCTATTTTCTGCCACTGCAAACAGTTTTAACTTATTTACGCTGTCAAAACTGTCGATGATTTTGAACAGCTTTATCAAAGTCCTCTCTTAAACTTCTTTGCTTAAGGAGAACAATCCTAACTTCCTCACTCTTTCTACTGAAATCCCTTATCCTGGCATCACTCACGGAAAACTCTTTTGCCCTCTCTCCAATGTCTTCCTAACTCTGATGCCCAGAACAGAACATGGTACTCCAGCTGAGTCCTAACCTCAAGAAGGAATCTCCTCCAATGGATTAGTTGGCATTGAGCAACCTACCATTACATAACGTAGAGACTAATGTCAGAATAGGTGGTCAGTCCACCAGTACATAGATCAAATACATTGGTTTTATTGGCTCACCTTAAATGATTTCAGTACAGTTTGTGAATCTTTTGGTTGTGAATAAGGCTTGGGGGTCAACATAGGCACTGCCTTACAGGCAACAGTTCTGGTTGGGGATGTTACTGTTGCAGAAACATTTTTTTGGGGCTGGCTGCTGGGAATGATCATTGCTTCAACAGTGGCAGTATATTTTTGGATAGGCAATGATTGCTGTCGTAAGTACTTAAGTGAATTAGGATCTTTTGTTGGTGAGGATGGAGCATCAGAATCCACAGATCGACTTCTCTCCAGGAATTTTGGCATCACAAGGCTTTCAAGAATAGGTTCGCTGATGATGAATCTCTGTGAATATTTTTTCAAAATGGCTTCAGCCTCTTCTGGAGTTCTTGCATTTTTATATGCTTCTTGGAGAGCAAGTTCTCTGCATTCCCTGAGGTTCAAAGTAGAATAATGATACATAGTTTAAATACTTCACTTTATAATCAACCTTTCTCAGAATCTGTTTGATGCATTGAAGATGCAGATCATTTTAAATTACACTGCCAATTATACTCCATTTCTAATTTTACTCTCTTTAATATCTCCAAATAAAAGTTTCCCGTCTCTTTATCTTGCAGTAAAGAAATACAGGAAACTAATATTCACTTTAAAGTCTCGTGGTGAGTACAGCGATTCTACTTCACTCTGCAATAAAAGTTTACAGAAGTCTTCGGCTTTTGTGTTTTGCTGGATGTATGGCAGATTGTGCAGTCGTCTGGGGCCCAAACTCATGTCTAGCTCACAGTCCCACCAAGAGCTAGGATGTTGTAAAATGTACTAAACTAAAGTTGAATAAAAAAGATTTTTCAAACTGGAGAATGTTGCAGTTCTCCAAGAGTCAGTGCCAGAGCCTCCATTAATTTTTTTTAGATATATTATATATATAAAATGGTCCTATTGTAAAAGGTGTGCAAGGACAAACATCCGAGCAGTTCATAAGTATCAATATTTGTAGGTGATAGAACACATATAGAGTAATTAGCAAAGTATATGGATATCATAAATAGCGATATTGAGTACAAAAGCAGAGAAGTCATTCTGCACCTTTTTATGCTCTGGCTAGGCTACAGTTGGATTTTTGCTTCCAATTCCAACAGTCACATTTTATGAAGAATGTGAGGTTTCTTGAGAGGATGCAAAACAGATTTACCTGGACCCTTCCAGGAGTGAGCAATTTTAGGTACATGGTTAGACTAGAGAAGCAGGTTGTTCCCCGTGGAGCAAACAGGATTATGGGAGATTTGATAGAAGTTGACAAAATAATGACAAATTTGGGTAGTGTAGACAAGAAAAGCTGTTCGCATCAATTCTTGTTTCAATGACCCAGAGAAACAGATTTAGGTTTTGGGCAATTGATACACGGGAAATATGAGGAAGAACATTCTTATGCAGTGAGGGATGAGTTGGAACTTGTTGTCTGTCTTGGCTCCCATCACCCTCATAATGATTGATTTCAAAAGTATATTGTATGATACTTGAGGAAAATAAGCTTACAAGATTATATCAGGGAATGGGGCTGGTTGGCTTGCTCTGTGCAGAATTAGTATGAAGTTAATAGGTCGAATGGCTTCCCTCTGTACTGTAATGACTCTCTGAGCTGGATTTTGCTGAATTAAATATGAGCAAACCACTGCTGCTTAGGGAAGAAAAAGACATGGGAACTGGAACTGAACTGATTCCCACCAGCCACCACAGAAACATGGTAGTCATGACCCAAAAAGCACAAAAAAGGATATCTTACTGCCTACTTCATTTTCCTGAATCTTTCCTGTAATTTGAAATTTTCAGAGAGATGGGTGGGCTTCCAAAACTTGTTTGAACTATATCAGGTGACAGGATTTGAGAACTATGAAGAAATCTGTTCTGGAGTCAGAAACGTAAGTTTAAAAGTTGTTGTCAACTTCATAAATCTCAATTAGATGCTAAATGATAGTTTTAGTATACGTTTAATGCAGTGATTAATGATAGGGTTTCTTCCTTAAAAAGTATGCAACCTTTAATTGATCAGCACTATGAATCTCCAAATGTATTACAGTACATTAATTCACTGGATAAATTGCATTCTTGCACTGAACATGATTGAGATTTAGATTTTAATGTGTTGTTTGGGCACTGTGCTCTAATTATTACATTAATTCACATTCTATTACTCTGTCAAACCTTTGAAGTGATAGACCAGGTGGACATCTGGTCAGTTTATATCAAAAAGTATTTAATTGTAATCAACTCAAACATGTTCAACCTTTGAAACATCGAACAGAGGCCATTTATTTCACTACTTCACGAGTTTTAATATGTTCAGTTCTACACACTTTATTTATTCAGCAATATAATTCCATTATAATGCCCAGTTGAGCTCCAAATCTCACTAAGTAAATTCAGCTCAGCAGGAGTTGATGACACAGCTGTCAAACAGACTGTGCACATGATTCTGATTGGCAGGTATATGAGCAATTCATAATAAAATGCTTTATTCAGAGATTTCTGAATGGCTATTCTTTTTTACAGTTTCATAAGCACTTAAGAGAATTATTCTTCAAGTGGAGTTTGAATTTGTCTGATTGACTGTTTTATGAGCTCCAATGATGAGCGGGGTGCTTTTTAAGAGGTTGTCATATGGCTAATTTTTTTATGGTCTCATGAACATCCCAAAGGCATCATAACATCATAAATATTATTATATGACTTCTTCACACAGAGAGTGGTATGTATATGGAACGTGCTGCCAGCGAAAGTAGTGGAAGTAGTTACAAATACAATATTTAAAAGACATTTGGCCAAGTAATGAATAGAAAAGGTTTAGAGGGATGTTGGCCAAAAGCAGGCAAATGGGACTAGTTCAGTTCAGGAAAATTGGTCAGCATGGATGAGTTAGGCCAAAGGGCACATTTCCATGCTCTATATGTATATAACTTTATGACTAATAAGTCTATTTTCTTCTAGTCATTGCTGGCTGAATGGTCATGGAGGTATAGAGAGGGCATGGGAGTGAGTAAAGGATGGGGATGGGGGTGATGAGTGAGGGATAGGCTGTCTTGTACAAATCTTCTACAACATTCTTGTACAAAACTGAGCCAATGTCCCAGTGAAGGATGTAAAATCTTCTAGTCTGCTCTGCATGGCATCTACCTACCATCATTCCCATCTAAGTCCTGTTTCCAATGGCCCACACTACAACGTATCTCCTTCACATCATGATGAAGAAATCAAGGCCAGATACTGCCGTCCAGGAGGCAAAATCAGGCCTGAATACTCGACAACAAAATATGGGCTAAATTATTCAATATCTTTAATACCTTCCAATTATGCTGTGGGTATGTTAGTAAAGCATTATTATGCTTTCATTCTTACTTTTAAAAAAAATCTTTTGAGTTTTGAAAGATATTCGTTGGGTCTAATTCAGTGTGATATTTATTAGAGTGTTTTAAATACTTGGTAGGCAATAGGGCATCTAGGCGAGCTGCCTAATATTTGTGGGAGCAAAGGCCAAACCTGGTTGGCATACACAGGGTGAAATACACTCACTAAATGGCTATGGCTACTAGCTTCAATCCAGCACAATATCAACTGGCTGATCAGCAAACCTACATGCCAGAAATACAAGTTCTGCATTGTTTGTTTCTTTTTTGGGGGTGGTGTGAGCTGAAGACTTTGGGGTGGGGTGGCAAAAACTCAGAGTGAGCAACCCACACTATTTTGCTGGAACTAAGAGGAGCATGCCTTCATCTACTTGCTCTAGAAAAAAAATAATTTTGAGATTTACCTTATCCCCATCCCAGGAAATCCAATCCCAGAGCTGCATGTGTATCCGATTGTGCATCTGTGTGTGTGAGTGTGTGTGCAAGAGAGTGTGCATGAATGAGCTTGTGTGTGAGTGTGTTTGTGCATGTGCGTGTGTGAGTTACTGCGTGAGTGTGCATGTGTGAACATATGTGTAAGCATGTGCGTACGCGGGTATGTGAGTGTGTGCATGTGTGTATGACTGTGTGTGAGGGGGTGGAGGTTATTAGGAAATGGAGGTCTGCTCCCAGAGTTGGGTGAGGGCAGGGTTGTCAGAGATATGTGCCCTGAGGGATTGGAAGGCTGGGGCAGGAGTGTAGTAGGAGGTGGATGTTTGGGAGACAGAGGCCTGAGGAAACAAGGTCTCAAGATGAAAGAAAGCAGAGCCATTGGGGTGCTCGTAGGGACTCAGAAATATCAGAACAGTATGTCCTGTTGCAGGGTTTTGGTGAATTCACTGTAGAAATAATACAACACTTAGATCACACATTCGCCTCCTTCAGGTGACTTGATCATTCCCCCACCCTACCTCCATTGAGAAGCAAGTTGTGACAGGCTGCAGACAGAATATTTCAATCCTTCAACCTCCAAGCTGACCCAAACCTACTGTTTTTTGAGGGTTTAAAATTCATCCTGTGCACTAGTTTTTGGCAAATATGCCTCACATTGAGTGGAAAACACGGTCAGGTTTGTACAATGTTATATTCAAAATTCATACTTCTCCTCCACAATTTCTCTATATGTTTTAATGCTCTTCCGCCTTTCTGAGCTGCGCTCCCCACTCATTATTTTTTCCACAATATCTCGTTCCTCCTTCCGTTTGATGAGATCCTGGGATGCGCTCCTCCTCCGGTTCTTCCAGCGAGCCAGATCCTGCAGAAAGATAACATTTGTCTTGACATTGTGTCACATAAATGTAAATGTCGGTCCCCAAAGCAGAAACAATTGACTTTATATAGAACTTTCATTTTGAAACAAAAGTTGCAAATTGCTTCAAGAGGCATAAGGGACAAATTGATACCAAATCAAAGAAGTTAATAATCAGAAGAATGATCCATAATATGGTTGAAGTATTGGGTTACTGGGGGGGAGTTTGGATAAGACTGGTAACGGTTACAAGAATTACGATGTACTGAAAACTACCTGGCTGACCCAGTGGTTCAGTGGTTAGCACTGCTGCCTCACAGTGCCAGTGACCTGGGTCTGATTCCAGCCTCAGGTGACTGTCTGTGTGGAGTTTGCACTGTCTCCCTGTGTCTGTGTGGGTTTCCTCTGGATGCTCTGGTTCCCTCCCTCAGTCCAAAGACATGCAGGTTAGTTGGATAGTGTCCAAGGATTAGCCACGGGAAATGCAGGGTTACAGAGATAGCGTAGGCGGGGTGGGTCTGGGTGGGTGTGGACTCAATGGATCGAATGGCCTGCTTTTACTCACTGTAGGGATTCTATGTACCTTTAACCCACATCCGTTCATAGTTCTGCTGGCATCACACTAACACTGTGCAGTTTGCTAATTTAAGGTAGTCCCTGCTGACACCACTGAAAAGGTTTTTATTACATGCGTGCAATAACAAATAAGGGCAAGGTTTATGTGCATGTTTCATGGTGTCAGCAGACACAGACGTCAAATATGCGAGTACAGTTGAGCCTAGTGCTTTAGGATTGGCCCCTCTGCTGAGACATGCAGCCAAAAGTTGTGTAAGGTTAGTTCCTCTTAAAGCTGATCTACATCCATTTAAATCTAGTCTGCACCTACTGTAGGCAGATGCAGATGCTGGGAACAGATGGGGAAGGGTTTATATGCAAAAGGAAAGGGGGTAATCATGCATAAAACCAGAGAGATGCAGAACTGGAAGACCTGGTGTAAGAAGTGGAAAGGAACACTGGAGTTATCAACCATGAAAACATGAGGAGTACTCATGAGAGACAGTATTAAGGCAGTGGGAAGATGTAGTTTTCATTCAGCCTAGTAGTATAGTATTGTGGAAATAGTCCCCATTAGCATCTATTCATTCTCCCAGGCTGACCTGTATCCGGTCCTTTCTCTGTTTGTCTCTCTCCTTTGGCTCTATCTCCACCTATCGTTTACACCGCTCCCCACCATATCTTCTTCATAAAGACCAACCTTTTCCTAGCTTCCATCAGTTCTGAAGAAAGGTCACTGGACCCAAAATGTTAACTCTGTTTTCTCTCCATAGATGCTGCCTGACCTGCTGAATTTTTCTGTAATCTTCCCGAACTGCTCTTTGGTACCAGATGTATGGGCTGCAGGTAACACAGAATGGTGAGCAGGGCTGAAGGCTAATAGATATGGCAGGAGCATGAGGCCAGTGAGAAGCCAGGGTTGACAGAGATATAAGACAAGAGGTGGTCTGTGTTATAGCTGCTTTTTTAGGAGACATAGATAGACAGCAATGTCAAGCAGTTTCATTTTCTAGTCTTACTTCTTGCCATTTGTCCTGGTCTTCACGTAGTAGGCTATGAATGTTGTGTAGTTCCTCATGGCGAGCTTTACTATGGGGCTGGATTGCAACATCTTCTTCAGGCCTCATATCATTCATACTAACACTTCTGGAAAGCAGGGATATAAACAAGTAATGTGAGAATGGTTTTTCTTTCCTCCTGAAGATGATTTAATTAAGGTATATTCCTCCTCCACATAAGGGTACTAGAATTAATCAAACAAAACCCTATTCAGCACGAATAATGTTTATTTTACCCATGTGGTGGATTTATTTGTAACAACACACAGGATTTCTACAATAATCGACTAGAAATGTTAATCAAGTTTAAATGGTTTCTGACTGTTTTTAACTAACTCCTGATGTCATTCATGTGGATTAATCAAGTATCTATCTAAAATTAAAAAACAGGCAAAAATTGTATTCAAATACATGAACAGATTTGCCTAACAGTCCATTTACAAAATATAGCAGTCTTTGTTTTAAACAACATACACTGATCTGCAGTTTAGTCCATAGGCTTGCCTAATAACAAACAGCAATAAAAAGGATCTGCTAAAACTTTCCATTGTCTGGGAACACATCTCTAAGGTTACAAGGCACTTTTTTTCGATTATGTAAGGTGTAATTGAATATTAACCAAATCGGCAGATAGTTCTGAAGTTAGAAGATTTTCTTAAAGAAATTGTTTTATCCCCCATATCATATAATATCCCAGCTATGAAAGAGAAAGGGGATTTCAGGCAGAAAAGATATTTAAGATTGTGAAATTATGCCATGGGATTTCTCATTCAGAACTTGGACATTCTTCCAGGATGTTCCTGGAAAGGAATTACATTTGAATCAGATGAAAAATCCATAAAACAGGTTTACAAATGTATTCATAATCTGACTTCTCCAGTGTTTTCAGTTAAAAACAGATGGCTAAATGATTCATGTTCAAAACCTTTCTCATTATTCAGTGTGATTCATGATTTTAAAGGGGATGCAATGTCTATCTGCAAAATTTACAGATTTTTTGGCTTTGTATATTCTCAAACGCTTAAATCCACAATGGGAAATGATCATGCATGACATTTTACACAGAATCTATTAAAATTAAATATAATGTTACAAGCATGCATTTTAATAAAATGTGAACCAAAGCAAAAAAAGAGCCAACATGACAGAAGCAGCACCTCATTCACACTAATGCAATTTTTAATAGAATGCAAATACCAAGTGAGTCAATGCACAAGATCAGCATCCACTTCCAGCCTACATCAAACCTGTTGCCACACAACATATGAGACAGGTATCTGCAAGGAAGATTTATAGAAGCATTTATCATTGTAAATACCCATAGAATGTTCTGTACAATAAGAATAGTGATATAAAGGATTGTGCATGAATGGACATTAGGGTGCTTGTGATTATCTGAAAAAGATAATTATGGCAAAGGTAATATTGCTTCTTATTCTTTGATTTAGAAGTTGTGATAACTTCAGTGGTTGATATTTGTTTTTTTCAAAAAATCATAAGTACTTTGTGTAATGTATATGCTGAAGTATTATCCAAATGTGTACTTGTCAATGGACCAGTAACCATATCGTATTTAAAGGATCCTAAGATAAACAGAATAGAATATCTAAATATCATGTCCTTGGCAAAAATCAGACAATTTAGCAATGGTGGAAGATGATCTATCCTTCTATTCTTATTCACTCACAACGCCATTCTTAATTAGTGCCATCAGTTCACTCTTTAATGAAATGCTTATTGTTTGTTCACCTATCAATTCAATATTTATTTTACTACATTGTGATGGTACTCTGCCTTTAAGTGGGATTTGTTATGTGCAGTTTGTCTTGCAGAAAGGTGTTGCCAGTAGTATCAGAATGTCTGCTTCAGAAGCAATGTGTAAACAGCTTTGAGCTGCCTGAGTGTTTTTTTTTTCAAAATTAGACAAAAGTAGTATGAGTAGGTGGAGTCAGGCTCACATAGACCCAGAGGTTTAGTTTTGCTTTCACTTGGCGTGTTTGGAGTTGAAGCTGATAGCTTTAGGTCTCTCTCTGCTGCAGCAAAAAGCTTGAGTTCTCTCTCTCTGCTGCGAGATTGTTTCTTTCAGTGTTCCCTTCTCCTAGACCAGAAGGGACATAGCATGTGAGAAAAATCTGTTTTGCTGAATTTGCCTTTGCCAAGCGTGTGCTTATGGGATGCTGCTATTATTGGAACAGTTGATGATTAGTAGTTAAATAATATATAATTTTTAAGTATTTCGATAGAGCTAAAGTTATGGCAATTCTTCTTTTTCTATTTATATTTTAACTGTGTTGTAAGAATAAATTGTGTTTTTCTTAAAGCCTAATAGTGGACTATTCGAATCACACCTGGAACACAGCGACTTACACTTGATTTTAAATAAGAAAGAAGTTAGGGTCCAGGCTATCTCCCTGATATGTTTGGTGTGGTCCATAACAACTTTGATTAAACAAACTTATTTCTGAACCACACTGAATTCTCTCTGCTAATCTCTCCTATTAAGAAGCCATTCCTCCCTCCCTGTATTTAACTGCTGTAACTTCAATTATGTAAAATTTCAAAAATAATTCCAAAATAACAGTGCACTCTAACCTAAAGGAAGTAATCTAGTCTTGTCACCCAGAGCTGGGATGAGTTAGTCTCTTATTAGAGAGATGACTGGTGGTGGGTTAACCTGAGGGTCACCACACCCCAGGTGAGAGGAGAGATTGAAAAGGAGAGTAACCTCAGTAACATCAATCAATGTGGGCACTGATTGCTTGCTGTTGGTGTCACTCTTGCATTGCAAACAAACTGCTCAGTATAATTGAGCTGACACCCCCATTCCCTCAAAAATTAGAACTACAAAGCATAAGCCCAATTGCTCTGAATAGTCTAATGACTTATAAGCAGCATTATAAATATTTTATCAATAAGACTTATTCAGAGGCTGTCACTACTTTAAAGTTAGCTCCCACTCTATGTGTCTGTCACCTCATCATTCCCTTCAACAGCTTCTCTTAGTTCCAACCACCTGCCATTGAAGTCTCATCTCCTCCTAACTGTAACAAAAAGTGAAATAAGAACATAAGAACTAGGAGCAGGAGTAGGCCATCCGGCCCCTCAAGCCTGCCTCGCCATTTAATAAGATCATGGTTGATTTTTTTGAGACTCAGCTCCACTTACCCGCCCACTCACCGTAACCCTTAATTCCTTTACTGTTCAAAACTTTATCTAGCCTTGCCTTAAAAATATTCAGCGAGGTAGCTTCAACCGCTTCACTGGGCAGGGAATTCCACAGATTCACAACCCTTTGGGTGAAGAAGTTCCTCCTGACCTCAGTCCTACATCTGCTTCCCTTTATTTTGAGGCGATGCCCCCTAGTCCTAGTTTCACCTGCTAGTGGAAACAACCTCCCTGCCTCCACTTTATCTATTCCCTTCATAATCTTATATGTTTCTATAAGATCTCTCCTCATTCTTCTGAATTCCAATGAGTATAATCCCAGTCTACTCAGTCTCTCCTCATAATCCAACCCTCTCAACTCTGGAATCAACCAAGTGAATCTCCTCTGCACCCCCTCCAGTGCTAGTATATCTCAAGTAAGGAGACCAAAACTGCACACAATACTCCAGGTGTGGCCTCACCAGGACCCTATACAGCTGCAGCATAGCCTCCCTGTTTTTAAACTCCATCCCTCTAGCAATGGCAGACAAAATTCCATTTGCCTTTTTAATTAGCTGCTGCACCTGCAATCCTTTTAGCACAAAGACACCCAAGTCCATCTGCACAGCAGCATGCTGCAATTTTTTACCATTTAAAACATAGTCCATTTTGCTGTTATTCCGACCAAAATTGACAAACTCACACTTATCAACATTGTACTCCATCTGCCAGACCTTTGCCCACTAACTTAGACTATCTATATTCCTCTGCAGACTTTCAGTGTCTTCTGCACACTTTGCTCTACCACTCACCTTAGTGTCATCTGCAAATTTTGACACACCACACTTAGTCCCCAACTCCAAATCATCTATGTAAATTGTAAACAATTGCGGTCCCAACACTGATCCCTGAGGCACACCACTAGCCACTGACCGCCAACCAGAAAAACACCCATTTACCCCTACTCTTTGTTTTCTACTAGTCAACCAATCCTCTATCCATGCCTTCAGTTGTTCAGCGGTGGGAGTCCGGGAGAGAGTGTGAGGGCAGCTGGGAAGGTAAGCTTTCGTTATAAAATCCCCCATGATAATTGCTGTACCATTTTTACATGCATTAGCGGGCGCAAGTGGTTGGCTGGGTAACGGTTATCTTTCACCCAATAAATTTGGGAAGTAACTAATACCCAAGACACTACACGCGTAGTGTCTCCCACCCTTCCACCTCCTCTAACCTAATAATAAAGACTAAGTGAGGTGAGCAGAAAAGCTATTTGCATTTTTTTTTGTCATCTATTTGTTATCTTTCGGGTAGGTCACCTTGACGCCAAATCCTCTGGGAGCGGTTCGGAAGGCAAAACTGGAGTCTGTTTGAGTATATAATGGAGTAAACTTACTGGTGCAGAGCACACTTAAAGAGATAACACTGCAAAACTAAAAAAAAAGAAAAAAAACTAATTAATTTTAAATAATTAACTAAGTAGAGATCGCAGGCCAGGTGATGTGTTGTAGCTGTATGATGTGGGAGCTAGCTGATCCCATTGAGAACGGCAGTGACCACGTCTGCAGCAAGTGTTGGCTGCTTGAGGAGCTCCGGCTCAAAATTGATGAGCTGGAATCCGAACTCAAAACACTGCGGCACATCCGGGAGGGGGAGAAATACCTGGATACTGTGTTCCAGGAGGCAGTCACACCTGGTAGATTAACTAATGTTAATTCGATTGGCGGGCAGGGACAGCAGTGTGTGACTGCGAGTGAGGCAGGTGGAGGGACCCTGCAGACGGGAACACAGGAGCCGCCATAATCTCTGGATTGCTGCCCGAGCCACGTGCAAATTGGCATAGGGAGGCGCGGATCAGGGAAGTAAACATGTGGCTAAAAGAGTGGTGTGGGAAAGAGGGTTTCCTTTTCATAGGGCACTGGCATCAGGTCTGGGACAGGAGGGATC